CCTAGCCAGACAGGGCATTCAAACTCAATACATCAGGATCCTCCATGAGCTGTATTATGGATTCATTACCAGAATCTCACCATTCTACAAGGAAATGATCATCCATGTCAAGAGAGGGGTTTGGTAGGGTAATACCATTTCACCGAAACTCTTCAGTGCCACCCTCGAGAACATCATGCAATGACTGGAATGGGAAGGAATGGGAGTGAAGATAGGCGGTCACCAACTACACCACCTCCGCTTCGTTGATGACATCATTCTAATAACAACAAACATTAGCCAAGCGGCACAAATGCTGGCCGACTTTGACCATGAGTGTGGAAAGGTTGGACTACAGCTGAAAATGGTCTCGTTTCTGACATTTCATTCACTCTCAACGGAATGAACATCTCCAACTGCAACAGTTATGTGTACCTAGGTTGAGAAGTCAACATGACGAATGACCTGGCACCTGAGTTGCGCAGGAGGAAGAGAGTGGCTTGGAATGCCTGCAAGAGCATCAAAGAAATAGCTAAGAGGACAAAGAACCTCCGGCTCTGAGCACATCTCTTCGATTCCACTGTTCTTCCTGCATTAACATACACCTCAGAGACCTGGGAAAACAGGATGAGAACACTATTCGGGTCTCCCAAAGAGGAATCAAAAGAGCTATGCTTGGAGCGCCACACTTCACTCAAATGAGAGAAAGAATCCGGAGTTCTGACCACCGTCAATGGTCAAAAATCAGGGAAACTGTCTTCTTTGCCGAGGCGTCAAAGATCAGATGGGCTGGACACGTAATGCGATTTGGAGATGACTGCTTTCACTGACACCAGAGCCATTACCGACTAAATTCCTCAGGACACCAAAACATCGCATGGCTTCCCACCTATGAGATGGTCAGACTTCTTCATCAAGACCCTGAACTATCAGTTTGAGGCTCTTCATGTTCCTAGATCGAGCAGACACCACTGGGCTACACTAGCATGCGACAGGGACAAATGGAGACGTTACTGGGGCTCACTCGAGCAAATCAATGAGTAATGGGATGTCAAGTGATCAAGTGATCAAGTAATTATCGATTGTTAATACTATGCTAATTGGTAGGGTTAGGCATTGACTAGGGTCCAAGTTAGTATAAATTGAGGTTAGGATTAGGATTAAGGCTAGGTTAGTGATCTGTCAGGGTTAGGTTTTTGTTGTATTTAATTTTTGTTGTATTTAAATTTAAGGATATAAGTTATTTATAGGCTGATTGTTAAATTTAGGCTAATTAATAGGTTTCAGCAAGGCTATGGTTAGGATTAGGATTAGGACTAGTGTTAGGGTTAGGATTAGGTTTTTGTAGCGGTTAGGTTTTTGTGAGATTTGGCTGTTTATAACATGAAAATAAAAAATAAGGATTGGCCAGTGGTTAAATTTAGGCCATTTGGTAGATTTAGGTATGTATGATCTAGGGTCAAAGTTGGTATAGGATGGGTTTAGTATTAAGATCAGTGCTAGGGTTTGGTTTTGGATTTCTGTAGGGTCAGGCGTTAGATTAGGCTATATTCAAAGCTAAAAATGCAAGTTAAATATAGGGTGATTGTTTAATTTAGGTTGAATTTTAGATTTAGAATTTGAATTAGAGTTAGTTTTAAGATTAGGTGTTGTGTAAGGTTAGGTTTTAGGTTTGGCTGTTTTTATAATTATAAGGTTAAAAAAATGAGAACTGAGTGATAGCACAGCGGTAGGGCGTTTGCCTTGCATGCAGCCAGCCTGGCCGAGCCGGGTTTGATTCCTCCACCCCTCTTGGAGAGCCTGGCAAGCTACCGAGAGTATTCAATATGCCAAACACAGTAACAAGAAGTCTCACAATGGAGACGTTACTGGGCCCACTCGAGCAAATAGACGAACAACGGGAGGACAGTGTGTGCGAAGGTTAAAAATAAAGGTTAAAGTTAAATATAGGGCAATTGTTAAATTTTGGCTAGTTGTTAGGTTTAGCCTTAGGCTAGTCTCAGAGTTAGTATTGGGTCAGAGTCAGTAGTAGGTTTAGGGCTAGGATTGGGGTTCTTACAAAGGTTAGGTGTTGGATTTTTCTTTGTTTAAAGTTAAAAAAAAAAAAGCTAAATGCAAGTTAAGTATATGGTAATTATTTAATTTTGACTAATTGGTAGGTTCAGGCCTACCCTATGGAAAGGATTTGTGTCGTCATAATGCATTTTATCTCCAGGCTTGTAAGTGGCCTTGCTTATCATTGCAAGACACACGCACCCTTATTAGTGACACACTGGTGAGCACTGCACAGTATCTGCTTTCACTGACACTCCTATTCAGGTCTTTCCTTGCATGGAATTTACATTCTGTATAGATAAATTTTTCAATATGACATTTTAATGGGTATTTCTAGCAGAGTCCAGAAATCAATTAGAACCGTTGCCCACAAAGAAATCCTTTTTTTTAAGACAAAAAAAGGCAAGGTGCCAACAGAAGGTCTCATTTGAAAAGAACCCATTTTACTGAGTGCAGATCAGTGTCCTAAAGCATCCGCCCGCTTTCCCAGCTGCCTGTAGCGGGGTTCACACGCCAGCCCTTCAGGCCAAGTTGAGTTTCTCTACTTCCTGAAGCTTGTGGTTTAAGTTGCAGCTCACTTAGTTTGAAAGTGTAGCTTAGGAACGGGTCCTGAGTGCCTGGCTGATCACTGTTGGGTGATCACTGTTTCATTGGTGATCATTGGTGATCACTGTTTCACCCCTTAGTTTTTTAGTCCCTTTATAATCCAGAGCATGATATTGTGATTTTTCTCAAGCATCTGCAGGGGCATTTCTCAAGACTTTCAAGAGAAAGTAAGCCATGAGCACAGTGCACTGAGCACTTCCAAGGGTCACTTCTGAGCACGTGGTACTGAGAATTAAACTCAGGTCTCCTGCATGCAAATCCTATGCACTGGTCCATTGAGCTCTAATCCTAAACATCTCTTCTTAATGTTGATGTAGTTAATTTAGCAATCCTTATAACTTTCTTGTATTAATGTCACAGGGAATGTTGAGCCATTGGAGATTGATGTGGCATGTATGGGTGCTTGCTGATAGCTCTGTCATCAGACTCTGAGTGTAAGAGAGAACACAAAGACATGAGGTCTTGGAGGTGTAAGATTCTGTCCTAGATCTGAGTAAAGATTTTCACGTGCAGTTCAGGAATGTAATGGTTCCTCCGGTGTCTCTCTGGTAGGCTTCTGTGTGAACAGCAATTAATATGCTCTCCTGCACACACTGTAAGAGCTGCAGGTGGTATAGAGACTTGTTGACTTTTATTCACAGTCTTATAAACACATTACTTAAAAAATTTAATGGCCTGACAAGGGCCAGACCATACTGTAGTAGGTAGGACAATTGCCTTGTATGTGATCAGCTGAGGTTTTATCCCCAGCACCACATATCCCGTAAGTCCTGCCAGGAGTAATCCCTAAACTCAGAGCAAAGAGTGATTCCCTGAGCACAGCTAGGTGTTACCACCCTCTGCACCCCCACACCCCCACACTCAGCAAAAAAAAAAAATCTTATGTAATTTGTCCATGCCTCTTTAAGTATCTATTTTTTTCAGTTAGATCTGAGAGGCCTCATTATTTCCCATTTAAAATATTACTGAGGGGACGGAGAAATAGTATAGCAGGTAGGACACTTGCCTTGCATGCTGCCAACCTGGGTTTGATCCCCGGCACCTCATATTGTTCTTGAGTGCAGAGCCAGGAGTAACCCTGAGCATCACCAGGATGGCCCAAGTGCCAAAAAATAAAACAAACCAAAAAATCATGTTGAGTTTTGCTTTCAATGATTTTATGTTTGTGTGCTGGCTTTCTTTCCATTCCTAAAGGGCTGTCTATTGGCAAATGCAATTTGCTTCTCTATTTGTTATAATAAAAATACTATTTAGAAACCTAAAATTCTCTTGATCTACGACAGTGTTTCCGAAAGTGGGCAATACTATACCGTGGGGCCACTGGAATGACCCAGAGGGTGGGATGGCGGTCGCCTCAGGTGTAATTGAGGGGTTCACTTTCTGATTGTTCACTTTTAAAAGGAGACTTTCCAAAGGGCTGCTGAGTGATCACTTTTCTGAAAAGAGCTGCTCAGTTGAATGACTTTGGAACCTCTGCTTTATTGCCGGATGTATATTTGGAGTCATTTCATGGCTGCCGAGTCTTAATCATGGCACAGCTCAGGTTGCTGGCAGGAAAGTGATGACACCCTCAGAGGGGATCATTAAAAAAAGAATTACAGGGGCTGGAGAGATAGTACAGGAGTTAACGCACTTGCCTTAGATGAGTCTAGCTCTGGTTCAGTCCCTGCCACTGCCAGGAATGATGCTTGAGCATGAGCCAGAAGTAAGCCATGAGCACAGTTAGGGGTGGTCCCAGGTCCCCACACTCAGAAGTTGAATAGCCATGCACCATGGTGTCCGTAGTGGAATGCCTCAGGAGAAAGGGGAGCAGCACACAAGTGGTGTCTCTAGGAGAAGATTCTGGATGATGTCAACACCCCACCAGCCAAAGGAAGAGAAATAAATATCCTAGACCCTGTTCCCTCCCTCCATTCTCCAGATTGTGTTCTCTTTCTGGAAGCTAGGGAGTCAGGTGATGGGGTACAGTAGAGTGGGGAAGAGATCAGAGCAAGACAGGAAAGCAAACACAAGTCACCAGTTCACCCATCTCTTAGATGAAAATTGTCATAACTCCATTCATCTCAGCCTTTGGAACTTGGTTTTTTGCACATAGACAGCTGTGCATTGGTCCTGGCCCCCTTTACTTTGAGCACCTTCTCCCTACTTTCCACCATCTTCACCCTGACATGCTTCCAGCCTCCTTAGTCACTGCCCTGGGGCCTGACATGGGCAGTTATGTGTGGCAAATACCCATTCTTTGTGGCTGGGAAGAGTTGATCCATCAGTTCAAGTGGAGACGCCCACATGACCAAAGACCTGCCTTTCTAGCAGGCAGCCCAGGATGATTCTACCCTCACTCTTACCTTCTCCTTTTCCAGGGTGGAGCTTCAGCATGGGCTCAGCTTACCAGTTCCACAGTTGGCGTGTGTTCGTGATCGTCTGCGCACTCCCCTGTGTCTCCTCCGTGGTGGCCCTCACGTTCATGCCCGAAAGCCCACGCTTCTTGTTGGAGGTGACGTCTGCTCCTACAGATACTCACGGAGACCCATAGATGGGAAGGGGGTCCTTGTTAATTCTAGAAAAGTCCCTATGCCTCTCAAGGAAATAAATGTTGCCTTCCTTCTATGAAACTCGGGGAAGTTTAGTTTCATGGAGATTGGCTTTAAACAAGCAGTATGATGGCGAGAGAGATTATATTATATATATATGTATATATATATATATATCCAATGGATATATATGGATATATATATGGATAAGGTTTATATATATGGATAAGGATATATATATGGATATATATATGGATAAGGTTTTTGTCCTGTGATGCAGCTGACTCTGGTTTTATCCTCAGCACTCCTGAGAGTTTTATGAGCACCATTAGGAGGGAGTCCTGAGCACAGTGCCAGGAGTACAAAGAGTGAACCAGTGTGTGTGTCCCCATAGCCCAAGAAAATAAAAAGGGAAATAAATAAAACAAGCAGCATGTGAAAAAGCTGCCTCATGGTCAAGAAGTACTCATGTTCTTCCTCAAGTAACTTTTTGTTCAAGGAAGAGAGAGTATGGCCTCTCGATTTGTGAATGAAATTTTACCATCTAAAAGTGCTATTTCTAGTAACAAGAACTTCCATTGAATTGCTGGTGTGTTCATTATGTTCAAGGAGACCATATATACCACTGGGAGGTACTAAAAGCATTTTGCACAATTGTACTTCATTTGATCAGACAATACAAGATGGTAACTGGGAGATATTAATATTTTGCCTCCTAGCACTTCTCTGTCTTCTCATGTTTCTTAGGTTGGAAAACACGATGAGGCTTGGATGATTCTGAAATTAATTCATGATACAAACATGAGAGCACGGGGTCAGCCTGAGAAGGTCTTCACTGTAAGTACTGATTCTTGATCCCCAGTAAATTCTCTAGGCCAGGAGCCAGAACCCTATTTCTAAAATCTCCAAATCATTTTTGGAAACTCTAATTTAATAAAAAGTAAATTCATGGAATGGTTTAGTAGGAACCGTGTTTTGGTTGTTGGTTTTGTTAATTGATTTTTTTAAAATCTTTTGTCATATGCAGTCACATACGACACTGAAAGTGCTTATTCAGTTGGGACCTTTCAGGCAGTCACAAGGGATATATATATAAATATATATATAAGTTTTTCATAAATAATATAAATAGGGTACTGATCAATGTATGACTGAAATGTAATCACAAAAGTGTATAAATCTATAACTGTATCTCACGGTGATTCATTAAAAAATATTTTTAAAAAATCATACTGAAGAACACAGCCCTCCCATTGTTCATTGATTTGCTCGAGCGGGCCCAGTAAGGTCTCCATTTTGAGACTTGTTGTTACTGTCTTTGGCATATTGAATACATCACGGGTAGCTTGCCAGGCTTTGCTGCCGTGCGGGCGAGATATTCTTGGTAGCTTGCCGGGCTCTCCAAGAGGGGCAGAGGAATCGAACCCGGCTCTGCCAGGCTGACTGCGCACAAGGCAAACGCCTAAAATTTAAAAACAACTAAGTTAAAATAAATAATATAATATAAATAATATAATTTATATATTTAAAATTTATATAACAATATAAATAAATATCAAATATAGTCCCCAAAATATGTGAAAATAATCCCTGATGAAAGAGTCCTTTGATATCTTATTTATTATTCATAGTGTGAAGATAGACTTCAGTCTGACCTCTACTCAGATCCTCATAATTCTTACTTATTTTAATAAAAATTATTCTTTGGTAAAAAATATTCCTGCAGGGGCCGGGGATAGTCCCAGGATAGGATGCTTGCCTACTGCATGTATTTGACCTAGGTTCAGTCCCCAGCACCATGGGAAAGTCTTGCTGAGTGTCACCTCAGATACCCAGGAGCACTGATTGGGAGGCTCTGATGATCCCCTGGTACAACAGGGCCCAACCGACACCAGTCTTAGGCCCTGGCTCTAAACTACTAGCCCAGTCTGACAACTCTCTCGAGTGACCCCTGGGCCCTCCTAACACCTCTTGGAATCCCTTCCCTGCTCATCCTCCCCTCTACCCGCCACTGCCAGATACTTATGCAATGTAATGGAGAAAGGAAGACCAGTGATGAATGTCCTTCACTGTGAATCGAGGTAAAACCATTGGGTAGATTCTTCTTCAGTATTAAGGATCAGGTGGAGGATCTGAGACATAATCTGGAAACTCAAACCATTCTCAGCCATATGCCCGTAAATCTCTTACCAAAGACCTTCTAAGACTGTCTTTGGGGCTTTGCTGCCATGCTTACCTGTTTTTCTCCTGGAATGACACTTGTTTTAAGTTACCAAGTCTACCCATGGTGAGCCATGCTGAGATTATTCTTTAAAGATTAGGTGGGTCTAAGGTTGGCACACTCCAAAAGAATGGGTAACCTCTAAATTGTTTTGACAGTGACTTTGCTTGTGTCATTTATACACGGCTTTCATGGACTGTCATTTTGAAGTAGATGAGAGTATTATTTACATGTGGTTTTCAAAACCATTATATGATTCCACATGACAAATTGGTCTTTTTCCTTTTAGATGTACAATACTGAGAATTTACATTCATTTCTCCAATATCTGTGTATAAAACTCTTTTTTTCTTTGCACCTATTTAAATATTGTTGTTTTTCATAACATCTCTTTTGAATCTTTAGCACTCTCATAGGAGAATTCATCTACTCCAAGCACTTCTGTTTTCTGATGAACCATCCCTAAAACTCCAGATATGCTTGTCAATGAGAGCTTTGAGGCCATCCCTCTACATACTGTAGGACTTCAAATTCTTATTTTCTAAATCTGAACTCATCACCTTCAGAGTCTTCACACATTGGGAACCATAAAATGGCTCATTTGAGAGCTCAGAGAACTTGTCCCGCAAGCATAGGTCTGCAAGTTCAACCCCATGTGCCACAACATGCTCCTGAGCACTCAGGACAGTCCACTGCTTGAGATCCCTGGCAAGAAAGTTCTGGAAGAAAGTTCAGTAATTTAATTTCCAAAGCAATACTGTCAACCCCACTAGTGGTCCAGTGATTCCCCAGCAAGGAAAAAAGGGCCTTCAGGCTTCTGTCTTGTCCTGAATTCTGCCAGCAAGAGCCTCTCTAGAATTTTATTTTGCTTTTTCCTTTATCCTCCTTATATCCAATGATCACTAACCCTTTTATTCTCTGTCCTAAAAATTACTCATCCTCATCCATTACTTTCCAGCCTTTACTGCCACTGATTTGGTCCAACGCTCATTATTCACTATGTTTCGTGAATACAAAATTCTTTGTGGTTGACCAAAACACTGTAGTCTTCCTACTTGGAGATCCCGCCAAGTACTTTTGCATGAATGCCAAATGACAGCATTCTTCATAAGCCCCAACTCAGATTTTTTTTATCCAGACAATCTCCTCTCTCTCCCAGGTCAACTTTAATATCCTGAACAACTTGTCTCTCCCATCTGATACAGAATTTGATGCGGATTCTTTTCATTGTGTGTGGGATTGTTGAAATCGTGTTTGATGTTTGCAGCTGCAGGGTCTAGTGTCAGTCCTGTCACTTCTTTTCCGGTTTGTTTCTGGGCCACACCCAGCTGTTTTCAGGACTTACTCTTGACTCTGCACTCAGGGCTCACTTCTGGTGGGGTTCAGGTAACCACATGAAGTACTGATGATCGACAGGACTGCAGCATGCAAGACAAATGCCCTTCCGACTGGACTATCTCTCCAGCCCCAGCCCTATTACTCCTAGGTGCCAGTCAATAAACAGGCAAGATAGGTGGAGTAGAGAAGAGTTCCCAAAGTCATATGTTGAGTGATAAAAACAAATTTATGATTAGTAATCTGGACTATCACAAAATAACAGCATGGATTATTTATCAAGTGAGGCCATCATTTTCTTTTCTTTTGTGCATCTTTGGGTGCTTATTCACATTTCAGATTTCAAGTGCTTGACAAGGAACAGTGAGACTGACACACATAACAAAGGAAATAAATAAGCAGTGTTGGCATGGAGATAGGGAGAAAAGGATCCTCATCCACTGCTGGTGGGAATGTTACTGGTCCAGTCTTTTGAGTAATCAGTAAGGACACTCCTCCAAAGACTTGAAATTGAACTTCCATTTGACCCAGCTGTTCTACTTCTTAGCATCTACCCCAAAGATCCCAAAACTCTATCAGAAAAGATATTTTCATGCCTATGTTCATTGTAGAATTATTCACAATAGCCCAAATCTAGAAACTACCCGTGTCCAAAACCAGATGAAAGATGAAATGGTGGTTCATAGACACAATGCAAGTCTACTTGACTATAAAAAAAGATGAAATCATGTAATTTGGTGCTACGTAGATGGATAGATTTGGAGAGTATCATACTGAGTGAAATTAGTCAGGGGAGGGATAGATACAGAATGATTTCTCTGATATGTGGGATATAAAGAAACAGAAGGGAGGGGTCTGAAGTGATAGCACAGTGGGTAGGGCATTTGCCTTGCATGCGACTGACCTGGGTTCAATTCCCAGCATCCCATATGGTCCCTCGAGCACTGCCAGGAGTAATTCCTGAGTGCATGAGCCAAGAGTGACTCCTGTGCACTGCCAGATGTGACACAAAAAAAGAAAAAAGAAAAAAGAGGGGATTAATACCCAAAGACAACAGAAATTGAGAATTGGTCTTCAGTAGGAAGTTTAACCACAGGGATAGGGGATGAGGGTAAACTAGGATATGTCTGGTGGGGAGGAGGAGGGTCACACTGGGACAACAATGGAGGGAAACAGATATTCTGGTGGAAGGTGTGGTGCTGGAATGCTTTATGCATAAGATTCTAGCATTGGGCTATACCCAGTAGTGCTGATGGACTAATCCTGGATTAGTGCTCAGGAGTAACTCCTAGTGGTGTTTGGGGAAACCATATGACAAGGTCATCATTTTCATCAAATGTGTGGATCTTTATTACATACCCAGGAAGAGGCTACAGTCTCCCACGTTATGGTGTGAAAGATGCAAAAAGTCCCTACATCAATTGTCGAAAGACAGCTTGGTATCTGGGTTCTCAAATATAGTTGCTACTTTGGGTGTCATCAGGAAAATCTCTCAACATTATCCCTGGTAGAGGTAATACATACACAGTATTTGTCAAATTCTTTAAGAAAAAAAAAACCTGATCTGATTAGGTTAGCTCATAGGATCAGATAAGACAGACACAGAAAGAAATCATTAAACATTTTTCCCTCTTTCCAGTGCTCTTTCTTTTTGTTGTCAATAAAACTTCTGTTTCTTGGATCTTTTCTTTGACCGAAGAAGACTAATTAAAAGAGATCACAGTGGCAGCCCCTGGTGCTGGGCTACCATCTCCTATTCACCTTCTTTTACTGGAGGACTGGGGTTGATGCTGATTGTTGAGGCTCATCCTCTTGACCTCATTGCATGGTCCCTGGAGGAATTTGCTGACCAGCTACTGTCACTTGACTGTGAGAGAATGCTAGTAGAGATGCTCTAAGAATAAAAGTTTGATATAATAACTTTGCTTAGGACCCATATTCATCAAGTGAGTAGGTTCCATACTGCTATTCCTATACATTTTGTTCAAGCTCAAGAATTCTTAACTGAGGAGCTGATCTCGATGGATAGTTTATATGTTCACTTGCATTTTTGTAGCAATGATTCAGAAAGGTCCTTTCGGTTTTATTTTATTACCATTGGCTCTTCCCTTCCCCGTCCCCATTTCTCAATTGGTTCCCATCTCAGTTCATACCTCCTTTAGTTCTTCTAGGTACCATTCATATGTGTATGTGGTCCATTAATGCCAATGGTCTCCTATGTACGGAGTGATTAACACCATACATGTTTTTGCTCTTTTGAAAATAAATTGTTTAAATAATAAAGAGAAGAAATAGGTAGTTGGGGTAGGTATGGGGATAGGGGAAATGGATGAAGGGCTTCAAAAGGTAAAAAGTTCCAAGCTATAAAGTAAAAAAAGTCAGGGACCGAAATTGTAGTACAGTGATCAGGGTGCTTGCCTTGCACACAAAGACCTAGGTTTGAGCCCTGGAACCCCATATGGTCCCCCAAACCCTACAAAGAGTGATTCCTGAGCACAGAGCCAGGAGGGAGCCTTGAGCACTGCCAGGTGTGGCAGCAAAACAAAATAAAACAAAAAAAACACCATAAAATAAAACATCATAGGACTATATTAGACATCCACAGTGGTTACTGTAGATAATAATTCCATGTTGTATGTTCAAAAGTTGCTGAAAGAGTAGATCTTAATGGACCTCATCTCAGGGAAAATATTATAACTAGATATGGGGAGATGTTAACTACACTTTTGGGGTAATCATTTCACTATTAAGTACTTGATCAAATACCAAGTTATTTAAGTTGTCCACCTGGTATAGGCCACATTTTATTAATGCTTTTGATCAATTACACCTTAAGAGAGAGAAATATTGGAAGTTTAAACTCAGCCTTCAGAGAGAGGAGGACTCAGCAGTTTTTGCTATATTGATCTTTTACAGGTAAACAGAATTAAAACCCCTAAACAGATAGATGAACTGATTGAAATTGAGAGTGACACTGGAACTTGGTATAGGAGGTGTTTTGTTCGGATCCGCACGGAACTGTATGGAGTAAGTAACCAACCTGCCCTGTCTTACTGACCAATTGGTGTATCTGAGGTTAGTCTGAGGCAGGGTTGACCAGACTAGCCCCATAGGCCCTTTTGCCCAGGACCCCCTGTGTCCTGGATTAAAAAGCAGGTCAGAGAATCCCTTTGGGATGAGCTTCCCATCTCTGGGAAGGAAGGAGAGAAGCAAGGGGTTGTGGTAGTGGGTGTGTCTCTGAATTCCTGATTCTTTGTCCACTGGTCTTGAGAAGCTAAACAAAGGAAACTCCAGGAGTAAGGCCAGTAACTCAAGTAGTGTAAGACCCTGAGTTTGATTCCAGGCTCCCCAGACCCCTCTGAGTACCGCCTGGTGTGCTCAATGGGCCCTAGCACTGCCAAGTGTGGTACATTCTAAAATTAAAATTCCAATATTTATGTTTTTGTAGTCATTAGCATTTACATTTATGTTTAAATGGATATCATCCAAAGATAACTCTGTATTAATTTGGTTAAAGTAACTGGGGGTGTGATTATCTAGATAACCGCATTTAAAAATAAAAAACATTATGTTTCTACTATTTTACAGATTTGGCTGACTTTTATGAGATGTTTTAACTACCCTGTCAGGGAAAATACAATCAAGCTCACAATTGTTTGGTTCACTCTGTCCTTTGGGTAAGTGATCCTTCACCCCTTGGTGAGTAAGATTGTTTCATTTCCTCACAGAAATTCCCAGTCTTGCTGCACTTTTGTGCTGTTTGATGCTGTTAACCTGCTGAGAAAGAATATTTGTCACCTTAAATTTGCTGACAATTGAAGTTTTTGCAAACCATCTTTTTTTTCTCCTGTCATGAAACTAGCTTGTCAAATCGGTGAATAGTATGTGGTATCTGATGGTTCCCAGAGGATTTGTCTCCCATCTTTTGCCACCGCCACTTCTCTGCTCTCCCTTCCTCATTGCTCAGCTGCAGCCTCAAGCCTTTGGTCTTCCTTGAACATGCCTCACCCTGCCCACCTCAGCCCTTTCACTGTTCTCTGCCCACAGACCCTGCCTGCTTATCTCCTCACCTCACTTACTCAGGGTCTTTCTCCCAGGCCACCCTCTCAGTGACACCTGCCCTGAACAACTTTAAAATGACAATGCCACTGCACAAATCTCTCTCCCTCCCTCTCTTTTTCTCTCTCCCTCTCGCTCTTTCTCTCCCTCTCTCTGTGGCTCTCTCTCTCTCTCTCACTCTCTCTCTCTCTTTTTAGGCCTTACCCAGCGATGCTCAGGGGTAACTCCTGATCCTGGCTGTCCTCAGGGGACCTACCATATGGCATGCCAGGTCAGCTGTGTGCAAGGCAAACGCTCAATCCGTACTATGGCTCCAGCCCCTACTGCACTTTCTTGCCCCTTCTCCACTTTATTATTTTGCATTCATATATTTCCATCTACCTTTTATGAAAGCATGTTCTTCCTTCTGTAAAGTTCTTTCTTGCTCCCTTGGGAAGCTCTTTGAGAACAAGATTTTAAGCAGTTCTATTCCCACTATGACTATGTAATAGGTGCTCCAAAACAGTGTTGTCAAAGGAATTAAGTTATCTAAGTAAAGAGGGTGTGAGGATGGGTGGAGTGATAGTACAGCAGGTAGGGCACTTGCCTTGCACCCAGCCAACCCAGATTCAGTCCCCAGAAACCCATTCGTTTCCCCTGAAGTACTACCAAAAGAGTAATTGTTGAGCTCAGAGACAGGAGTAATTCTGCCGGGTATGGCCTCCAAACAAAAAGCAAACAATTAAAAAGGAGATAGGAATAAAAAGTGAGAATTTATCTATTGACTTTCGAATGTATGTATACAATTCTCATTTGACCTAATTTGTGTTTGATTTTTTTACATATCAAATCTTATTGATTTGTCACTGACTTACAATACTGTAAAATTAAAAATTTCAGGTGTATAACTTTAGGTCATATTCAACAATATCTTCAGATCAGTTGACTCCGGGGGGGGGGCGGGGGGGGGCTTTTTTGAGTCACAGGGCTTACTCCTGGCTTTGTACTCATGAATTACTCCTGGCAGTATTCAGGGGACCATATGGGATGCCAGGGATCGAACCCAGATTGACTGCATGCAAGGCAAATGCCCTTCCCACTGTACTATCACTCCAGCCTCAGATTAGTTGACTTTTTTTTTTTTGCTTTTGGGTCACACCCAGCGATGCACAGGGGTCACTCCTGGCTCTGCACTCAGGAATTATCCCTGACTGTGCTCAGGGGACCATATGGGATGCTGGGAATCGAACCTGGGTCGACCGCGTGCAAGGCAAACACCCTCCCTGCTGTGCTATCATTCTAGCCCCTAGTTGACTTTTTTCTTTTAACTCTTTATTTGTGTATTGGTTTGGGGACCACACCCAGCAGTGCTTAGGGCTTAGTCCTGGATCTACACTCAGGAATTACTCCTGGTAGTGCTTGGGGGACCATATAGGATGCTGGGGATCCAACCTGGTTCAGCCACATGAAAGACAAACACACTCCCTCCTGGCTGTCCCATGGCTCAACTCTCAGATCAGTTGACTCTTATTACTTGATATAACCTAGCATTTTATATGCAAGTTCCACCTCTAAATGTCCTTAAAATAGGAGTAACTGGGACCAGAGAGATAGTACAGTAGACATTGTGCTTGCCTTGCATGCAGCCAACATGTCTTCAATTCCTGGCATCCCATATGGTCCCCCTGAGCCCCACCAGGAGTGATTCCTGAGTGCAGAGCCAGGAGTAACCACTGAGTATCGCCAGGTATGGCCCCAAAATCAAAGAATAAAAAATAAAAATAAACAAAAAAGGAGCTATTTCAAGTGATCCATCTTTCTCAGTGCTATTAAATTGGGAGGGAGAGAGGGAGAGGGAGGGAAGAGAGAGAGAGAGCTGAGGAAAGTGGGGTAAAAAGAGCTGGCATCTCCTTCTGCTGTGTAACTTGGGCATATGCTAAGTTTTTGTCCTATTTTAGAGTTCAGTTCTAGAAAAATCTTTAGTCTGTGAAGAAAGATCAGGCTGAAAATAAAGCATGGATTAAATACCTACTATGTGCTGAACACTGGCAAGGCACAAAGAGACAAGTGAAGCAAGTTCAAAGTCCATCTCTCAAGATGTGAAGCATCCCATAATACTCACCAGATTTTATATGTTTGCTTCTTTACTTACTGATCATCTCTTAAGCTTTATGATTTCCTCCCTGATGTGCTGAAAACCACATACAGTACCTATCATTGAGAGGCTATTCAGTAGATGTTGGCAGCATCCATTCGACAATTAACTGAAGCTCCTCCACATCATCCATGATAGATATTCCACAGTAGGATAATTCCATCATTGTTGGGATTTTTTACACCCACCAACTGGCCCCCTGGCGCCGTGTAATCCCATCAGCGGCCAAGACTCAGAGACTATAAAAACCAGCTCCCAGAAGAAGAACAGTGCAGTCTCCTGCCCCTGCGCCTGACTGTCCTCGCCGCCGGGGCCCCTTGGAGGGGAGCGGGTTGAGCTTTCCTCCCCGCCCCGACCAGGGCTCCGGCAGCCAAAGACCTCCAGGACCAGCCACCACCATGCTGAGACCACTCTCCGCACACATGAAGGTACTGGCAGAGGGACAAAGTCACGCCGGTTCCGGGACCGAGATCTCCAAGCCTACTCGGATTTGGGCCGAGCATCCTCCACCCAGATCCTCCAAATCCCAGTAGGCGGGGGTCACACCCACCAACTGGCTCAGAGACTATAAAAACCAGCTCCCGGAACCACGCGGCCATCTTATTATGACATCTTATTATCTCATTCCTACTTTGTTTGTTTTTTTTTTAATAGCTATTTAGTATTTATTTTTTTTCTTTTTTTATTAGTGAAAAACCATGAGGTACAGTTATAGGCTTACAAATTTTGTGCTTGGGTTTCAGTTATACAATGATCAAGTGCCCATCCCTCCACCAGTGCCCGTCATCCATCCCCATGGGTCCCAGCATCCCCCCCCCACCCTCATCCCCCCCCCCCCGTCCCATCCTGCCTCTGTGGCAGGGTATTCCCCCTTGTTCTCTCTCTCTTCTTTTGGGTACTGTGTTTTGCAAGAGAGGCTTTGAGTGGCAATCATGTTTGGTCTTACTTTGGACAAACTGGCAGGCTACCGAATGTAGCCTGCCCACATGCCAGAGTCTGGCAAACTCCCTGTGGCGTACCCAATATGCCAAATACCAGTAACAATGATGGGTCTCATTCTCCTAAAGAGCCTTGAATATAATCTCCGGGCTAGGATGAAGGAGACGTTACTGGGGCCTGCTCGAGGCAATCAACGATTAACAGGATGATTTGTGATTTGTGATTTGTTTGGATTTTTCAGATGTTTTCCTGTCTGCCTTGAAAGCAGTGCTATTTGATGTTACCTTTCCTTTCTGAGTCATTTCTTATTTATTAGACACCAATCTTACTCTCCCTCTCTCTCTCCCTCATCACTCCCCTCTGTTTGCATCTCTCCTCCCAACCACCACACATACACACACACACACACACACACACACACCAAACTAACTTATGATCAATGAATAAATGAAGAGACGGGGTTGAAATATATAGAATCCTGGAATGAAGATGTTTGGGGAATCCTGTTGATAATGACAGTTAAAAACTACATAGTTCTTACTTACTATGTAAGTAAGCACTTACTATGTGCTAGTATTTTACCTCCCATTTATTTAAACAGCCACCCAGGAAGGTGTATGCTATATCATCTCTATATTAGAAACAGGGAAAAGAGGATTAGATAAATGACCCCAGGTCACATGACTGGTAAGAGACAAGACCGGAACTTGAACTTATCATGTCTACCTGTGCTTATAGCCTCATTTCCCCCTGCGTAACCAAGTATAACAGGAAAAACTAGAACAGAGCTTCCTAGTTCTACTACTTTTGTTCTTATTTGAATCACCTAGAGAGCTTTTAAAATTCCAAATGTCCGTCTTATGTTCCTAATAATACATTTGAGGGCTAGACCAGTGTTCTTTGACCTCTTCACACATTTGAGCCAGCTCCTGCCCTGCATACTAGACTACAGACCTGCAGTTCTAAGCAAAGCAGTAGACCAGTAATTTGCAATCTTTCTCCACCTATGGATGAGTACTCTGCCACTATCCTAGACCCCAGAAATCTCTGAGGAGGGGATCCAGGCTATAGTATTTTTGGTCTGTTCAGGTGATTCCAATGTGCAGTAGACTTGGAGCACCACTGAACTAGAGCAATCCTTCTCACCTGCAGCCTCCACGGCCAGAGTTTCTGATGTTCCAGGTCCAGGAAAGTCATGTGAGTTTCTAGTCAGTGCTGCTGGCCCAGGGACTCTGCAGAGGGAGGCGTAGCTGCCCAGCAGCATTGCCACACAGAAGTAGCCCCATGAACCATCGTAAATTTTCTGGCATCCACAGTTGGAGAAAATGAAAAAAAGTAAAACCAGAAAACAGGTGAAACTGACTAGAATAATTATTTAGCTGATTATATCTGCAAATCATCATTTCATCATACGTCGATATAAAAATGAGAAATGGCCCATTTTGCATTCTGTTCTTCATACATCTTCAGTGTGGTTCTGTGTACTTGCAGTACATCAGCATAGCTGCATTTGCACCACTTGGGAACCACACGTGGTTAGTGGTTACTACACTGAAGAACAACCGCGGAATTCAACTGTTCCCTGTTAGAACGAAGGCCTAGAGGGAGACTGTGGATTTTCAGATAATCACCTGAATGACTCCTTTCCCAGCCTTGAACAATGTGGAAAAGGGATTCTGTCCCCTGGCTAGCAGTCTCATCATGGGGGGTGGGGAATAGTGAACAAGGTCATTTAGGTTTGGGGAGCACAGAAGTTGTATTTCTACCTAGAAAGTTGAGGTTCCTTGGCACAGCTAGGGTGATAAGAAAAACATCCCATAGGATCTCATCACAAAAGATAGTGCTTTAAGGTACATTTATTCCCTAAAGGGGGGGGGGTGGGGTTCAGGGATTAATTGAACTTAATTCCACAGGTGATCCCAGATCATCTCTCTAGCTTGATGTTTGCAGGCTTCATTGTGGGCTGAGAAGGTGGTTAAGATTACTCTCTGATGATTTAGAATGTTATAAAAACCAGTCAGAATCAGAAGTGCTTTTCGGAAAACCACCATCTTTAAAATTGTCTGTGAGGTCCTTGTTGTTCCTTGTTGCCTTTACAAACTGTCCTCTCCTTGTCTCTGCAGGTACTATGGACTGTCTGTATGGTTCCCTGATGTCATTAAACATCTGCAGTCGGATGAATATGCATCATTAATTAGAAAGGTGCAGAGAGAGAAATATGCAAATTTCAGTATTAATTTTACAATGGAAAATCAGATTCATACTGGAGTGGAATACGACAATGGCAGGTCCAGAAACTTTGAAATAACTTAATTTGTTAAAAGTTTAATTCTTATTATTGGCCTTCGTTGCAAGTTTTATTGCCTACTTTTGTTTTGTGTCAGCCTGAATATGAATGCTTACAAATGAGTTTAAGAGAAAAAGTTACACATGTATCCATTACTTCTCTTAAAACTTTGTCTGGGGGGAAGTTCATGCACAAGTCAATCAGCTTAATCAGTGGCTGAATAAATAGCAGTACGCCTACATTAAAAAAAAAAAACTTTGTCTGGGGACTAAAGAGATAGTGCAAAGATTGCCTTGTATAGAACCAACCGTAGTTTGATCCCCAATACCATGTGGTTTGTTATGCACTGCTAGTAGTCCCTAAGTAAAACCAGGTGTGGCACAATGCCCCTTTTCAAAAAAAAAAAAAACTGCTGCTAATGATCAATGAAAATTTAGAGAGACCTAGAGAGAAACAAAGTTATGAAAGAGACTTTGGAAGTGGGACAAGTATGAGAAAATAAGATGGGTTTTTTTGTTTTTTAATTGGAGAAGTCTGAGCTGTAATCTGACTGATCCTTCTATTCTTGGAAAAGAAGACTCCATTTATAGTTCTCCCTGCACTGTGCTGAGTCAGGAACTGGAAGTCATTCCAAAGAGATGGCTCAGTGATGAGTGCCTTCTTTGCATACAAGAGGCCTGGAGTCTAATTCCTGGTACCACATGGTCTCCCTAACACTGCTGGGAGCAACCTCTGAGCACTGCTGGGCATGACCAAGGACAAAGAAGTTTATTTTTTAAAAATTGGGGTTCAGTTGTTTAAGAAAGCTTCAACTAAAGATGAGCTAAAGAAAGTTAAGTTACAACTGAAGACCATTAAGGACTTTGAAAACACATAATAAGTGGGACTGGAGCAATAGTACAGAAGGGAGAGTATTTCCCTTGTGTGCTGCCAATCTAAGTTTGATCCCCAGCATCCCATAATATGCGCCCCTGAACACCTCCAGGAGTAATTCCTGAGTGGATAACCAGGAGTGATCCCTCAGAATCACTGGGTGTGGTCCAAAAACTAAAACAAAAAAAAATGAAACAAAAGTTTAAAATAGAGAATAAGTTAGCAAATGAGATTTCTTTCATTGAGTGTGGATTTGCAGTGGCTCAATGCAGAAAATGCATAAAGCTTATGAAAGTGATCTGGTTCATTCTTTCAGAGAAGGAAAGGGATGGACAAGGTTATTTGTTATCTTCATTTTTTTTTCCCCCAAGAAAATCATTGCTGGTCTGAGTTCTCAATAGTCTATATCATTCTTCTGACACAATCCAAATTTCAAGTGTGATCGAAGTGAAAATCTAAAATAATCAAACAATTTTTCAAGGCAAAAACCAGTTAGGAAAGATGAAAAAGAGTTCCCTGGGATCCATGATTTGAGGCAGAAAGAGGAAAGTGACCAATGTGGGGATAATTGTTTGAACTGGCAGTTCCGGGAAAGGCCTGACCGTGATCTAGACCACAGAGGGTCACCTTCACTCTCCCACAAAAACGTGCCTCAAGACTGTACTTGTTTTTTGGCAGAAATCTTAGAGCCAGGACTCTATTATAATGCTAGGGTGAAAACTTATTTACTTACTTAAAAATTCTCCTTTCTCCCTTAGAAGTGTCTAATAAATGTCTGTGTCTTTGACTCACGTTTTCCAATAATATTTTTAATAGTCTAAATTGGCTATCCAGTCATTATGAAGTATATAAATTAGCATTATAATGACTAATAATAGTGATACAACCAGTAAAACCAAGTCTTTTAAAAACATTTATTATGGAAGGTGATAGAATTTGAGGTTGGAGGCTCCCAAGAAAAGTTTGGAGGTCTGGGCTCCTCCCAGCAATTCTTGGCCAACTGGTCAAGCAGTTCAGTGCAGAGACCTGAGGATGTGGTGCTGCTCGGATCCTGCAGTGCTGGTGACTCCCCAGGTCATCGGAAGCACTTACAGGCCTCCAAGGCTGCACCTGGCCATGCTTGGGGCTCCATGTGATCAAATCAGGGCTGGCCACATGTAAGGCTTAATCCCCTATTTATCGTCTCCCCCCCCTCCCCCCCCCCCCCCCCCCCCGCCGGGCCCTGTGGTCAAATTTGTGTGTGTGTCTTTCAAGGACATTTAAAATCCCATTGCCAATTTTGTTTTTCAAAATTAGTTTTGCTCTCCAACATCTTGATAGGAAACTCTTTAGTGGTACTGATGCAGAATAACCTCCAAGATAGACTCCCCAGAGAACAAGCCAGGTTAGTGTCTTTCTTATTCATATAATGTTCCTTGGAACATGCAGGAGGAACTGGGAACTGAAAATAGTGGTTCTCTCCAGGCAAAGGAGTTAAGCGACTTGAAGATATATGTGTGAACACTTAACTTTTACCTTTCTCAACATTTTGAATTTTGTATAATATGTACTATGTGTATATATTATCCATTCAAAAAATAGAAGTATTTGCCCTTTCTAAATCCAGTTTCATTTCAGAGAAGTGGTCATCATCAAACATGCCGTTATTATGCCCCTTCCATGGGTAATATTATGGTTCAGGTAGTGTTTATTCTGGACCCTGGAATAGGTTGAAACAAGATTGTTTTAAAGCAGTTGGTCTGTGGCAACTATACACTTGGAACTGACATATGCAATTAGGCATGAGAGTAAGGACAGTTCTTAAAGCACTTGATATTTTCCATTTCTTTCTATTTTCAATGACCCACTTTTAAGTCAACAAAAAATGTCTCTGGGCAGATTTCATCTTTCTACACTTATCTAAAATATGCAGAGCTTTCTGTCATTCTAGCTAGGTCAAGGAATACCTGTTGGCTGTTAAAAGAAAAATACTGTTGGAAAGAATGTGACCTCTGAACTTCTTGACCCCTGAGTCCATCCTTCCACACATAAAGGAAGCCAGCTTCAAAAAATAAAAAATAAAAAAATAAAGGAAGCCAGCTTCTCATACTCTCTCTTCAGGACAATTGGAAGTCCCTACACTTGACTAAAGAAGTCTTGTTTGTGTTTTCAGTTGAGGAAACAGACTTTTATTCAGAGTTAGTAGAGGAGCACATCCTCAAATGGAGCCATTAACCCCAGAGACAGGATTTTCCAGTAAAGACATAGGCAGAGGAACAAATATTTTAGGGTTCTAAAATAAAGGATTAGCAGTCACAAGTAATCTCTAAACTATCAACCCACAGTTGCACGAATCACAAAATACCTTAACAATTTTGTAAAATCCCAGTGATGTTATCTTGAATTTCATCTTTTTTCTAGTGGAAAAATCATATTTATGAGCAATGGGATCACCAGAGTAGCACAAGCTCCATAAGGCAAAGGGGAAAGCTCAGAACTTAGAATGTGCAGAAACCATTATAATGAGACTTCAGAGTTGGATGATCACATTTCCCAACTTGTGTGCCTTCACCTCGAACCCTGGTGGACTCAGTCACTGACATAGATTTTTCTCTCTGTGTTGGACAGATTCCTTGGGGTCAAGTTCAAATCCGTCACTTTCAAGGACTCAGTGTTTAAGGCCTGCACCTTTGAAGATGTGACTTCACTCAATACCTACTTCAGAAACTGCACTTTTATTGACACTGTGTTTGACAACACAGGTAAGTGTCTGCTCAGCCCTGCCTCTGCCTGGGGCCTCTTCCAAGGGCACGGCATGGGACAGAAATGTGATATTCATGTGTCAGTGTGGGCCGAGGCTGTGAGGGGAGAGGAGATTAAAGTGAAATGAATGGATTCCCTACATTAGGTTGGATCCAAGTTAAGCTTGTATTGTCCTTGATCAGAGTTAACACAAATGTAATTTGAAAGTTCAAAGTTAAAAGGGGGAAAAAAAACTTTGCAGCAAAAGAATAGCCTGTAATTTATTTGTTTTGACAATCCTGGTTTCAAAATTTGGTGTTTTCATTAAACATGCCTGAACTGCAACTGACAGAGATGGACAATTGCAAGACTATACTCGGTGAAATTCAGGTTTTTCACTCAATCATTTAATGGAATCTGGAAAAGCTCTCAAATGGGGGGAAAAAATTGAAGAGGAGGGAAATATTGATTAAGCACCTTACCCTATGCTTCTTTGTACTGTTGCTCATTAAGCAATCACCAGCTCTTTCATTTTAATTGCCAAGGCTTAGAAAAATAATTTGATCACAGTCATAGACTAGTGATAGCTGACTTTTTATATGCATAAAGGGGCCAGCCATACCAAGTGATGCTGGGAATAGAAAGGGCCCCACTATTCAATACTCAAACCAGCACTGTGGTACTTGGATGTTAGGGACTATTTTGTTTAACAGTGCTATCACTTCTTACAAACCAGCATTTCTCAACTTGGGGAAGTAGGGCAGGGGGCATATCGGGTTCCCAAGATATTCCAAGGATATGGAGTTCCCGAGATATTACAAGATACTCCTAGATATCTTAGGGTTCCCAAGATAGCTACAAGACACTCCTAGGGGACCACGGGTGGGAAACAAGGTCGGAAGGGACCATAGTTGGAAAAACTGTTAAGAAACATTGGTCTAAACTAACCATCCTCTGCTTTTTGAAACTTCCATGAGCTCACAACATAGACCATAAGAAATTGTTTGAGGCTCACCCCCTTTTAACAGAATCCACAACTTTTTGCAACCTCTCATGAGAGACCTAAGTTAAAGAGCAAACCAACAGTCCTGCTAATGACCTTCAGAGGAGGCCAAGTCTGACTCCTTGGTAGACTCTTGCCCTGAAATTAGAGTTAGTCTCAAGGACCCAAGGAAAATTCTGTTCCTTCTCTGTGCCTCCGAAGCCCATAAAATGGCAATTATAAGTCTGATTCATGCACATTTTGAAACAAATTGCCTTTGTAATTGCAGTAGGGAGGCCATTAGTACTATAACCATCACCATTATGCAACATGATCATTAAAATGAAGTTACATTATAAAAGGGGTAAACAAATTAATTCACAGTGGGCCAACCATAGGCATCATTCAGCCTCTTTGTAAACCCGGCCTTCCACAGGCAAAGACCTACACAATCAAGTCAGCCCAGGCCTCAAAGCCATCCAGGGGGTAAAATAGAGGATTCCTTTTTTTTTTTTAAATTTTATTGAATCACTGTGAAATAGTTACAAACTTTATGTTTGGGTTACAATCACACAATGATCAAACACCCATCCCTCCACTAGTGCACATCCCCCACCACCAATATCCCCGGCATATCCCCCCTTGCCCACCCTCCCCCTGCCTCCATGGCAGACAATATTCCCCATCCTCTCTCTCTCTACTTTTGGGCATTATGGTTTGCAATAAAGACACTGAGAGGTTAGCATGTTTGGTCCTTTATCTATTTTCTGCACACATCTCCCATCCCGATCGATTCCTCCAGCCATCATTTTCTTAGTGATCCCATCTCTATTCCAGCTGCCTTTTCCTCTTTGCTCATGAGGCAGGCTTCCAGCTATGGAGCAATCTATCTGTTCCGTGTGTCTACTGTCCTCAGATGTCAGCCTCATGTTATGTTGTTTTATACTCCACAAATGAGTGCAGTCCTTCTATGTCTGTCCCTCTCTTTCTGACTCATTTCACTTAGCATGATACTCTCCATGTCTGTCCATTTATAAGCAAAATTCATGACTTCATCTCTCCTGACAGCTGCATAGTATTCCATTGTTTAGATGTACCAAAGTTTCTTTAACCAGTCATCTGTTTTAGGGCACTTGGGTTGTTTCCAGTTTTTGGCTATTGTGAACAGTGCTGCAATGAACATATAGGTACAGATGTCATTTCTACTGTGCTTTTTTGCATCCTCGGGATATATTTCCAGAAGTGGTATTGCAGGGTCATATGGAAGCTCAATTTCTAGTTTTTGAAGAACTGTCCATATTGTTTTCCAGAAAGGCTGGACTAGTGGGCATTCCCACCAACAGTGAAAGAGTGTCCCTTTTTCCACACATCCATGCCAGCACTGGTTGCTTTTGTTCTTTTGAATGTGTGCCAGTCTCTGTGGTGTGAGATGATATCTCATTGTTGTTTTGATATGCATCTCCCTGATGGCTAGTGATGTGGAGCATTTTTTTCATGTGCCTTTTGGACATTTGTATTTCTTTTTTGAGGAAACTTCCGTTCATTTCTCCCCATTTTTTGATGGGGTTGGAGGATTTTTTCTTGTACAATTCTACTAGTGTCTTGTATATCCTGGATATTATAGAGGGTTTCTTTTTAAAATTCTCAGCAGATTTCCTACACTCTATCAGGAGCTGCATGGTATCGGGGGCTTGATGCTTTGTCCTGTTCTGTGTCTACAGATTTTGAGCCATATAAATTCATTGACAGTGAGTTTCAAAACTGCTCGTTTTTTCACAACAAAACGGGATGCCAGATCACTTTCGATGATGACTACAGTGCCTACTGGATCTATTTTGTCAACTTCCTGGGGACATTGGCAGTGTTGCCAGGGAACATCGTCTCGGCTCTCCTGATGGACAGAATTGGGCGTTTGACCATGCTAGGTAAGTGCTGGGTTTCAGGTCCACCTATAGGAGCCTCCCTGCAAGCCAGAGGGTATGACTCTCCACCACACTCTCTAGCCCCATAAAGGTTCACATCCTAGGGCCGGAGCGACAGTACCAGCCCTAGGATGCTGCTTAAGTTCATGGTGTAGGGTGTTTGCCTTGCACACAGCTGACCTGAGTTTGATTCTCGGCATCCCATATGGTCCCCCAAGCACCGCCAGGAGTAATTCCTGAGTGCAGAGCCAGGAGTAACCCCTGAGCATCACTGGGTGTGACCAAAAAAGCACTGAGCACTGTAGCACTGTCTTCCTGTTGTTCATCGATTTGCTGGAATGGGCACCAGTAATGTCTCACAACAAATTGTGAGACTTGTTACTGTTTTTAGCATATTGAATACGTCACAGGGAGTTTGCCAGGCTTTGCCGTGCGGGCGAGATATTCTAGGTAGCTTGCCGGGCTCTCATGAGAGGAGTGGAAGAATTGAACTCGGGTCGACTGCGTGCAAGGCAAACGCTTTACCGGCTGTGCTGTAGCTCCAGCCCAAAAAGCAAAAAAGAAAAGAAAAAAAAGATTCACATCCTACAGACCTGAGAAAGTCCTTCAGATCCTTCAGTAGACTACGTTTTGGTGAAAATTACATCGAATAACATTTCCTTTGAGCAACTTCCATGAGCTCACGGACTGAAAAACTAATTAGGTGTGACTAATGTGTATTTTTCCACTTAAGTAGCCAAGTAATTGATATGTATTTCATGCTCCCTGTGCTCAGAAGGCAGTTAGAGAGGCAAACATTTCATACAGGTGGACATGGATGCACCTTAGCTTTCTGCAGCCCCCTCCACAGCCCACCACCCACCCATCCCTGGGATCTTGAAGCCCCTAAGGGTCTGGCTCTGAAATGACAAGCCTTTGGTTTGTTTTTTTTGGGCAGGGGGCTCTATGGTGCTCTCAGGGATCAGCTGTTTCTTCCTTTGGTTCGGCACCAGCGAGTCCATGATGATCGGCATGCTGTGTCTATACAACGGATTGACTATCTCGGCCTGGAACTCTCTTGATGTGGTCACTGTGGAATTGTACCCCACTGACCGGAGGTATGATGACAAGGGTATCTGGGAAGAGCTGCTTAAGCTCATGGTGTCATTGTGAAAAGTCATAAAAAGGAGCCAAACTGACATCCCCCCAACTTCCCCGAGAAATCTAAAATGAGAAAAATAGCTGTCTTCTGATAGTGTCAGTTTCACCTGTATTTTTTGGGAAAAAATAATCTTATATTGGATCAGGGAGATGGCTCAAAAGACTGGGTCTGTGCTTTATATGCAGAAGCCCCCTGTACTGCTCCCTGAGCACTGAATTGGAGCTAGTACCCGCCTCCCCAACACACACACACACACTATAGGATGAGGCATAGAAAAAAAGACAGGAGGGAGGGAGAGAAAAAAGGAGGGAGGGAAGGAGAAAGAGGAGATGGGAGGGAGGGAAGGAAGTTAGTTGCTAGAACAACTCACAGAAATCAAGAAAGCACTATATTTACTATTATTATTTATTAGAAATGATAAAGATGTACATAAGATAAGGTCCATAAAAGCCCAGTGGACAGACATCGCTGTCCCTGAGGGCATGGAGCATGACCCCTCCCTCCACATGGGTGTATTCACCAATCTGGGAGTCCCTGCACCAAGTCATTTAGTACTGATGTTCAACCTGTTGTACCCATGGAATAGTGAAAATGGGAGAAACATGTCATGTACCACTAAGACAGAACTAAAAAGCATTATAATTAAAAATAAAAATAATTTTTATTTACCTAGGGATGTGGCTCTGCAGTAATGGACACTCCTTGCATGTGTCAGATTTGGGTTTGATCCCTGGAACCTCAGAAAAAAGAGTACTCTTATATCCATATTTTATATTTATTATAATAGTACCACTCTCTGAGCAGGTATATACCATGTCAAGTGCTAATAACTTTAATGCGTATGGGCAAGAAATATCTGAGACTGACAGTCTCATGTTCTGAAAGTTGAAATCCTCTGGTTTAAGAGTTTGCTGAAATCATTAGATAGGCGTGACTGATCACATCATTGGCCATTGCGGAGTAAATCATTGAGTTTATTGAATTAAACTATTGGGTTAATCTATTGAGTTAAACTATTAACTGAAGAAGAGCACAGTCCCAGAACCCTGACCATGCTACCACCTACAGTGCTTTCAGCCCTCTCAGCAGTTGGAGATGCAGAGAGAAAATACAGCCCATTTATTGGGTTTTTAGGACTGGCTAGAATATGAGCTGTGATGCTCCATCAGGTCCAGAGCACTAAGGAAGTCAGTGCCTGGTATAAAAAATTCCCACCCACGAGGGATATTATCCATGGTGGTGGAAAATGGGCACTGGTGGAGGGATGGGTATTTGATCATTGTATAATCGAAACCCAAGCACAAAAAATTGTAAATCTATAACTGTACCTCATGGTGTTTCACAATAATAATAATTAAAAAAATCCCACCCACATCCTCAGACACCGACATGGGGATTTGAATCAGGGCCGGCTACATGCAAGACAAGAACCTTACTTCATGTACACTCTCTCCAGGCCCTCAACCGTTTTCTAAAATGTTTGGGCCACACCCAACTATGCTCAGAGCTTCCTGCTGGCTCAGTGCTTGGGGATCACTCCTAGGTGGATTTGGGAGATCATACAGGGTGCTGGGGGGGTTGAATCACACTCTCTCCAGCCCTACCATTTTGTTGTTATTTTGTTTGGGGGTCATACCTGGCAGTGCTCAGGGATTACTCCTGACTCTGCACTCAAGAATATCACTCCTAAATAAAATTTTAAAAAATAATATCACTCCTGGTAGTGCTCAGAGGACCATAGGAGATGCCAGGGATCAAACCTAGATCATCCACATGCAAAACTGCACCCTATACATTGTACTATCACTCTGCCTCCCAGCCTCCACAACTATTTTTTAATCCTCCTTCCTAGATCTCAGAGCAGGGAGCATTTACTATGTGAAGTAAAGAGACCCAGTTCCCAACTAGCTCAGAACTCTGCACAGACCCCCTTAGCCCTACTACCCGCCCAGTAGTGTGCTCCTGCCTCCTTCTGCCACCTCCTTCTTTCCCTCACTCTCGGCCCTGCTATTCCCCGCTCATCCCAGGCATCTGTGAAGTGGTCCACTTTAGTGTTGAGCTAGTATCAGCACAGTTTCCCTGAATGTCAGCCAATCTAAGCCCCACCCCTCAGGACAGGTCTAATTTAAAGAAGTTCCAGATCTCGAACCCTGAAGGTCTTGAATCCTGGATCTTCTTCTAGCTAGTCATGTGACCTCAGGCACAGCCCACATGGCTGTGCCTCAGTTGTTTAGATATGCAGTGAGGAGGTTGACGCAAATGCTATCTTGGGTTCATCGTGGTTCTAGAATTCTCTTCACCATGACCATCTGGCATTCCCCAGTGGTGATTGCCATCATCCCTTATCATACATTCCCTATCATAAAGAGCTCACCTTTGGCTGTTCTTAACATCATGGGTCCAGCTCTCTTCTCCAGCCAACCTGTATTCCATCTGTGGCCCTGCACCCCACCTCAGTTTTCTTTATAGGTCTTAGCATTTTATGTTTATATTTCCTGTGGCCACTCAGAAAATGTTCAGTCCTTTATGTCTCTGGAAGTTAGAAGTAGACAGTATGGGCATGAGAAATAGGTGTCCCCTTTATTCATAATCTCACCCCAAGGTAAAATATTACTGTGGAAGCAAAGCCCACCTGAGAAACCAGCAGACCCCCAAACAGTCCCTCAGGGTGCTGTTGGCGCCAGAGGAGCCCATCTGTCTCCCCATGGGACCAAACAATAAGGCAAGCAGCGTGAAGAGAACATGAAGTGCTGATGGGCCCATGAGAATTGGGGGCTGATCACACAGCAGTGCCCATGTTTGGGTCAAGGTACAGGACCCAGGGGCAGGATTGAGAGTCCTGAATGGTGGCACCATTTCACTGGGCTGAGGTTGCTGTTCTTGGAGAATGCTTTTCTGTCTGTTGCACTAAGGAGAGAACATTCTTCCCACCCAATGGCAGGGCCAAAGCCATAGTACAGTAGGGCATTTGTGTTGCACGCAGCTGACCTGGGTTCAATCCCCAGCATCCCACATGGTCAGCTAAGCACCACCAGGAATAATTCCTGAGTTCACAGCCAAAAGCAACACCTGAGCATTGCCAATTGTGACCCAAAAAGCAAAAAACACACACAAAACAAAACCCATTCAATGGCATATCTTGAATACCACTCATATCACCAATGAAAAAATTGTCTCCATGTTATCACACCTCATGTGGACTTCCAAGTTGTTTCTTAAAGCCCTGAATAACCATATCTGGCCTGTAGATTCTTGATGAACTTGCTTTAAATCCTATGGGTACTTATTGCCAATGACTTTCAATGCTATGCTAATTTTAAAGCAAATTGCCACCCATATGTGATGCCATAGAATGTTAAGTTTCATGTTTATTTGCTCTCTTCCCCCACTACAGAAAGCTCATGAAAGGCATATAGATGCTTTGTCTTTCTACTTTATTCCCATAAGTCAAGTGAGTGAGGAAGGAATGGAAGAAATAACATTTTTTTATTCAGTTGTTGAGCCAGAGAAGTAGTACAGTGAATGGGTAATGTGCTTGCTTTGCACAATTCCAATCTAGGTTAGATCCGTGGCATCCTATATCGTCCCCTGAGCACTGCCAGGAGTAATTTCTGAGTGCAGAGTCAGGAGTTGCCCCTGAGCATTGCGAGGTGTGCCCTTCCCCTAAAATAAAACAAAATTCAGTTGTTATGGGTCATGGTTTTTCTTCCTATCTCCCAAGAGCTGTCTGCTCCCACTTCCCTGGAGCTCTGTTAGAACCCCACTTCCTCTTCTCCAGTCTCCACCAAGCAGGTGGTAAACATTTTACCTTGACTGTGTTCCACTGCCTGTTGGCAACATCCAAATGGAGAGATGATCCATGTGATGCTATTTAGTGCCATGACTTGTATGTTTCCCCAATCTTGGAAAGCTCCAAATTCTCCTATGGTACGGGAACAGAAATCCTGATTTGGTGCTACATCAATTTACTTGAAATGAAGCACACATAGAATAGGGCAAACTGTTTTTAATGATTTGGGGAAAGCAGAAAGTAAAAATTATATGCATTGTGTAATTTGTAAAAATATGGTGATGATTGGGAGCACATGAAAGGGAATTCAGAAATGAAAACCATTTGTGTGGGGGGAGGTAGATGTTTTGCTTTGTCATTTCCTTTAATATATAGTAGTGAACCCAAATCAATTTGAAACTAAAGCTTTCTCTGGGAGAAAAGCAAGTTTCTCCACCCTTGGCAATACCTTATTATCACATAAGTCTTCTAAAAACACTAGTGCCTGGACCACAAGTACAGCAGTTGGTCATCACTTCTGTGAGCCTAGCCCAGGCACTGGTGTGGCCACCTGTTTAAAATGCACCAAGTTGGAATCTAGGCGCCTACATGAGGAAGAGTACACTTGCCTGGAAGCAGGAGAGAGGAGGCAAAAAGGCTCCAAGTACTGGAAGGATTAATGACTTCTCCATGGAAAGGGCAGCTCTAGGTTCTGAGACAGCAGCAGTGATGGAAGGAGGCCTCATGCTTTGCATCCATACAGGATTTTCATCTGAAGAACTGTCTTTTTGGTCAATGAAGACAGAGACTCTTTAGCAATAAAGATTGAATCGTCTCATTTAGAAGTTTCAGGTATCAATGGCCCTGGTGTGCCTCTCAGCACTGCTTGGAAGTCTCGGAAAGTTCTGGCTACTCTCAGGGATATGAGAAGATAGCCTCCATATTTTCTATGGTTGTGTGATGCCAGATGTGGATAGCTTGAGAAAGTGTGGTTATTATGACCCAGATGTAAATTCTGTGTGGGTCGTTCCTCAGCTTCAGTGCCAAGGACTTTGTGCAGGAGAATGTTTTCTTTCTTCTTATCAGCAATATACACACCAGCCATTTTCCCTCTCCGGAATAATGCAGCTTTTCTTACTACCTTACAGTGTTTTAGGGGAGCAAACAGTACAGCAGGTAAAGCCTTGCATGCAGCTCATCTGGGTTCAATTCCTGGCATTGAATCTGGTCCCCCAGGAGGGATCCCTGACCACAGAGCCTAGAGTAAGCCCTGTGAAGAGCCAGGTGTTTTCCAAAACCCTCCCTTGCTGTCCACCAAAAAAACATGCTTGGTGGGGCTAGGGCAACAGTACAGCAGGTAGGGCATTTGCTTTACACGTGGCCAACCCAGGTTCGATCCCTGGCATGGCATACGGTCCCCCAAGTACCACCAGAAGATATCTGAGCACACAGCAGTAATCCCTGAGCACTGCCCATGTAACCAGAATTTTTTTTTAAGATGGTAATTTCTGACTAGAAACCAAAAAGGCTAAAGTGGATTTTAAAACATGAAAGCAGTCATTCTCAAAAGACAGACTCACTATATGAGCTTAGTTCTGTGACACTCTGGAAAAGGCAAGATTACAGAGGCGATTTTAAAAAATTGGTAGTCACCAGGGGTGAGGGACAAAGCAGGGATTACTGGCACTCACAGAAATTCTTCACTTCTCTACCTGACACTGCACAAATGGATACGTGATCGTTTATCAAAGTCGGAAGAATGTACCGCAAGGGGGAACTTCAACCTGTGGTTCCTGGTTAAATGTGATAGCCTCTCAGTATCTGTATTGCAAACCATAGTGCCCAACACTAGAGAGAGAGTATGGAGGGAATTGTCTGCCATAAAGGCAGGGGGAGAGGTAGGACTGGGGGGGCAGGATACTGGGAACTTTGGTGGTGGAAAATATGCACTGGTGGAGGGATGGATGTTTGATCATTTTATGACTGAAACTCAAAGAGGAAAGCTTTGTAACTCTATCTCACGGTGATTCATTAAAAATAATAATAAGCCTACTACCATCTGCCCACCTCGTGGTAACAAATGCCCCACATGCTGGAGTCAATAACAAGGAAAACTCACGTCACTTGTGTCCGGAGTCACCTTCTGAACTTTGTCTCTTTCCTTTGCAGAGCGACAGGCTTTGGGTTCTTGAATGCCCTCTGCAAAGCGGCAGCCGTCCTGGGAAACTTAATTTTCGGCTCCCTGGTGGGCATCACCAAAGCCATCCCCATCCTGCTGGCCTCCACCGTGCTCGTGTGTGGGGGGCTGGTGGGGCTGCGCCTGCCCGACACACGGACCCAGGTCCTGATGTGATGCGGTCCAGCCCTGGCCCATGTCAGCTCCCCTGGCGGACAGACTCGAGGCTTCCGGTTTCCCAGATGACCCAGGTGGCTCCATACCAGAACACTCCTACTCCCGCTGTGACTGAACCGTAGATGCACCCTGCCGTGTGACCTTGCACAGTTTTCTTTTGTTTCCGTTTGTTGCCGCATTTGTTGTTATCTTTCCTAACAGGGATGCTGCTGCCTACCAAAAGCCCGTGGAAACCCTTTTTCCAGGCACCCTAAGTCAGCCAGTCCTCCCTGAAGTTCTGCTTGTGAACAGGCCAGGAGCCAAGAAGAGGATCATGTTGCCCACTCCCCATTCCGCCCTCACAGGATATGGGTGTTGGCACATGATGCCCTTTGTGCTGAGGAGAGAGGTTTTCGTTTTCCCTCCAACAGAATGATGTTTCCTGTTTACTTAGCAAAGGACTTCCAGCAATGCTCGCTGTGACAGTAGGACCTTCCAGAGAAATCCTCGGGGAACCAAGCAGGGCTGAGCAAGGCACTTCCAGCCACCCATCTCATAGTTAAGGGGACTCTGCAGATGAGGGAAATAAAGGCTCTGCAGGGAGCGGCCCGGGTCTGCGGGAGCTTCCCAGAGGCCCAGTGAAATGTCCGGAAAATTGGAGGGCAAGGGACCATGGGAGCTTCTGGGAGCTTCTGTGACATGGGGTATGAGTGTGTGTGTGTGTGTGTGTGTGTGTGTGTGTGTGTGTGTGTATCAACATTTTAGGAAATCAGAGATCAAAGTGGGGAAGGGAGAGAGAGGAAAGGAGGGAGATGAGACGAGAGAGAGAGAGAGAGAGAGAGAGGAGAGGGAGAGAGAGGAGAGGGAGAGAGACATCGCTCTTCTACTTGCATTTCCCCATCCTCGCCCCTCTCCCCCACTCCACTGTGTGGATCTTGCTGGATTCGAGCAAAAAAAGTGCTCCATTCTACAATGTGGGTCTGTGCCTCCCGGATTCTGCCATCTATTCAGACTCTCACCAGTCTTGAGATCGTCCAGGTGGTGAGTTGCAAACTCAGAAGAAAGTCACCCTCCAGGGGCCAGAGAGACAGTGTCTGGGGGGTCAGGCCTGGCGGTCTGTGGCCGATGCCCAGGGCAGTCTTGACTGACACCACATGGCCCCCCAGCCCCGAAAGTCGTGCAGCCAGCAAGCCATTTGGAATGCAAACCATCTCTTGCAGGGACACTTCTCTCTGCTCCTGTGGGTCACTGACTTCCTCATTGTTCTTCTGGGCCTGCTTCTCCTGCTCCGGGCTGTGCGTCCTCGCTGAGGCCCTTCATGCCCAGTGCTTAGCTCCATCGGAAATCCTGGGGGCAGTGATAAGCTTCTCTCAGGCATGGGCAGCCTGAGCAGGAGGTTGTTTGGCACCTTTTACTCCGAAATTGGCCTGCTTGGAGGACATAGGTCAGCCAGGTGTCCCAGTGCTGTGGACACGGTAAACTCTCCCCTCCCACCTGCCCTGCCCCAGCACGTCCTTTTCTAACCTCTCCTTTGAAGTCAGCCGCCTCCATGCTGACTGGAAGCCACCCAGAGTAAGGTCCATCATTTAAACAATCTTCTGGTTTGAATTCTTGGCCTCTTGTAAGTAGTTTTCCTTATTCCTTGGTATAGGCTTATTCAGCAGGACGTGGCTCTGGAGCCTTCTGGAAGGGAAGGGAGACTGCTTGTCCTTCATTTTTTCTATTCAAAGATGCTTTAAGCCCAGATCCCCATCTCTGCCCGATTGAGCTCCAATAGCAGTTTGAACCACCCTGAAAAGCTTCTTTTAGTAAAATATAAGGCAAATAATTAAGTCTGTAACAGATGGGGGAGGGGCAGTCCAGGGGCGGACGGTGATAGGAGAGGGAGTATGAGCTCATCAGGAAAATCAAACTGCAGAGATGGCAGGAAGAAAGCAAATCAGTGAGGACTCCATGCAATTAATTAGAACAATAATAGCTGGAGCGATAGCACAGCGGGTAGGGCGTTTGCCTTACAAGCGGCCAACATGGCCGACCCGAGTTCGATTCCTCCGCCCCTCTCGGAGAGCCCGGCAAGCTACCGAGAGTATTTGATATGCCAAACACAGTAACAACAAAGTCTCCAATGGAGACGTTACTGGGCCCGCTCGAGCAAATCGATGATCAACGGGAGGGCCTTTACCTTAATAATAGCAAAGCAGGACAAGGAACAGATTTTACACTCACACCGGCCCTTGGTACTATTACTGGTGGGCAAAGTCGGCAAACAACCCAGGAAAGTAACCCAGTGATTCTCCCAAGTGCCACATCACTTCTCCCCATCTACCCTTTGATTTATCTTCTTCAAACACGTGGACTTGGTAGGGCCTGAGCAATAGTACAGCAGGTAAGACACTTGCCTTGCATGCAGTCATCTGGGTCCAATCCCCAACATCCCATATTGTCTCCCCACACACCGCCAGGGGTAATTCCTGAGTTCAGAGCTAGGAGTAACCTCTAAGCATCATTTGGTGGGCCCCTACCCCTAAAAAAAGACAGACTTGGGGAACCTGAGCAGGGTGTGTAACTGACAGTAATAGACATAGCTGCCCCCGAAGCTGGATGTAGCTGCATCAGGAAGGCAAAAACACGCACCAATGTTGTTTCTCTGGCCTCTCATGGTGGGTCCCTTTACTTTTAGAAACGTCTGTGGAAATTTAGAAATGTGTATTCTGGGTCTAAATGCATAAACTGTCCACTGGGTAGTGGGATACCATTGAGGCAGAATTTCATGAGCGCTCTGGGTTGGGGTGAGATTTGGACATGACTGCAGAGTCCCACTTCACGAACTCTGCCACCACTGCGCTTCCCCTGCAGAAGTGCCTTGCATGACCTTGGTGGCTCTCCATCCACGCCTCCCAGGTGGGCCAAGAAGGATCTCTTCTCAGCTCCTGGATGGTCTCTGGTCACAAACCCTTCTTGGTCTTCACTTCTCCCCCATTGTGTTCTGTCTCACCGCCCCCCTCTCCTTGTTGCTCCTCTGCTATGGTTCAAGTTGTTTCCCAGAGTAGGTGGTGTGGCCAGCTGGCCTGCTCTGGGCTCAAGCTGGCCGGGAGCTGCAGCAGGAGCTCTTGGCTCTGTTGGTGACGCAGCTGCTGGCACTCAGGCATGCGCCCAGCAGCTCGGTTATCTGCAGGAGGGCCCAGCAAGAGTGTGTGTGAAAGTGAAAGCCTAGGAAACAATCCCACTTGTTCCTCTATTTCTAACTCCTTTTCTGTCTAAAACTTCCTTGTCCTTCTTTGGAATCAGTCCAGAATGCGCCCAGATCCTATTATTATCTCACAGTCTCCTCCATAGGAAGGAAAAAACAGCTGCTCCACCCTGTAAATCCTGTCAAGTCTTACCCCCAGTTCACATATGCACATACAATCCTGCTGCCAAACTACCCCATCCCCTGTCCCTGCCCCCCACCACCACCACTAAGCCCCTCTTCAACCCCACATCTGACCCTGAAAGGTAAGAGAAAGGACCCTAGCCCAGGCTCCCACGCTGACTCACAGACCAAAATCAGACTAGGTGCAGGACATAAGTCCCTGAATGTCTCTGGCCTCAGTTTCCCCATCAGCAAAAATAAAGGAGTGAGACTAACTTGCTCCTGGAGCTATAGCAGGCATATAGCTTCATTTCATCATCTGTCTTCTGAGGCTAAACTGTCTTTATTAACACTGCATTAGGGGTAGTTGATACTCTGAAAAGTTAGGACTTAGGCAATCCTGAAGGATAATCTTGGGCGGCTGTTTGGAAGGCCCTGTGGAGAAGACGTAGAACATCGCTGGCATCTTGTCTGTGCTCTCGGGCCCCCGAAGAGGGTCCAGGGACAGGCTCATGAGCCTCTCTGCTTCAGCCTCCACTAGCTCTTCCCCACCCCCTGCTCCATTTTGTTCTTGGGTAGACTTGGACCTTCTCAGCAGTCCTTCCGCAGCTCCCTTAAGGGGGCCCATGAACCTCCATTTGTAAATCTCACCAAGTCAGACTGCAGCTTCGCATCCAAAGCTGTTGGGCGGCTGCTTTTCTGGATACCTTGAGAACTCAAGGGAGAGGTAGCAAACCGAAATGCTGGGAGTGATCGAAAATGAGAGTCTAAGATGTCATTGAAAAGGTTCCAGAGGAGAGATTAAGGCACTGTTGAGACTTTCTAATCCCTGGGATCATTTCAAAAACATTCCACAAAATACCTTCAAATTCCCCCTGCCAACCAAAATAGAATATGATACCCTCCACTCTTTTCCTGCTCAACACCAAAATGGTTTTTACCTATGTCTTCAATAAGCCGCCACACCTGCTCGTGCTCTGAAGCCAGAAATGTCTGTATTTGACCTTGTCCTTGTTTCACAGACCAACAAACTGGCTGATAAGCAGCTGGCTAGCTAGATACCCAGTTTTCCCTTTAACCCTCACATCATGCTAGACTTAGTCCAGTTTGTAAAGCAACTGGAACTCCCTCATACAAAAGGGATAAAAGGAAAAACTGAATAGGGAAATGTTTTCTTTTGGGGGGGGGAGGGGGTATTGGGGGGTTTTTTTGTTTGTTTGTTTGTTTTATTTTTTATTTTGGAGCCACACTTCGCAAAACTCAGGGATCACTCCTGTTGGGGTCCAAAGGATCATATGCAGTGCCAGGAAAGACTAAAGCACTCTGAAATGGACTGTACATTTCTCCCAGCTTAGATTTCGCCAAGCCAAGTATGCTTAAGTGAAGCTTCTTTTAAAACCTCTAAAGTATGTATAAAAGGACCAGAGAGATAGTACAGCAGGGAAGGCACTTGCCTTGCATGCAGCTGACCCAGGTTTGATCCCTGACATCTCATATAATCCCCTGAGCACAAGTGCAGAGCAAGGGGCAAGTGCTGAGTACTACCTGGTGTGGCCCAAAAGCAAGCGAGGAAGGAAGGAAGGAAGGAAGGAAGGAAGGAAGGAAGGAAGGAAGGAGTGGGTATGCAAAAGAAAATGGTCAGGACCCCCCCTAAGGTATTGTGCCTTTGTTTTTGGTGGAGAGTTAATGTTTCTGTCATGTTTCTGCTCTATTGGCTCTTCCTTGGGTCAGGCCATGGCTTTGGAGAACACCTGCCTTGCATGCATGAGGCCCT